CACGCTTTACTCCTGTACTGCACTCCGCTATATGTGTGCTTCTTATGTGTCCTCCACCAGTGCCATCAACCTAATGTTCACCTCTGACAAGCTTTTCGGGGTTTCATGTGTGGGGTCAGTATTGTGGCGCCTCTGAGAAATGACACTCGGGAGTTAAATCTAAAGATTCCACTCGGGTATCCTAACTAATAACAACAATGTATCTTATTTATGTATCACTCGGCTGTAGATCCTCAAATCATCTCTGAATTGGTGCTGGCACTGGAGGGTGGCTACTTTTGTTTCCCATGGTCCCTGTGTGTGTTGTAAAGTAGCCACCGCTCTAAGCTCACCCCTGTGATGGACTACAGGCTCAATACAAATTAGTAAACTAAACATGAGATTGTAGTCCATCACAGGAGTGAGCTTGGAGCGGCGGCTACTTTACAACACACAGGGACCATGGAGAACAGTAGTTACCCTCCAGAAATAAGGACAGCACCAATTCAGAGATGAATCTAAGGACTAATAAGCTGCTTGATATTACATTTTTGTTCCTATGAGTACTGTGCAGCTTAGTGAGCTGTCTGCACTTTACAAATGGTGGCCATTTACAGACGGCTCCATGATTGTCATTCTCTAGACATTGTACAACAAGCACTCATCAGACACTTCACTGGTCGCTTGGGTTTATTGAGACGTTTGGCCGATTACAATTTTGAGCTCCACTTGTATTTACTATAGGAACTCTCAGACAGCCAGCTGATGTCACAGATCTGTTTATGGTTGTGATGATGATTTGATACTAAGATTGTGTGTAATGTATGCCTGAACAATGTTCTTTTATTACAGGGCTGTACTGGAGAATATGGCACATGGATCTGGTGCAGTCAGCTGTCCTGTACAGTGTAATGACCCTTGTCAGCACATACCTTGTGGCCTTTGCTTATAAGAATGTCAAATTTGTTCTCAAACACAAGTAAGTCACTTTCTATGGCAGTAGAGGGAGAGCTGCATCTTCTGCTGGATATAGGACTTAGAACCTGGTAATAAAATATAAAAAAAATAGAACGTTCACCTCCTTGCATCCACCTTGCACATACTGCACTGTGCATTTACCTTCAATTAAAACCTATCCCTGGGTAGGAAAAAAACCTCTTGAAGTGGGGCAAACCCCCCCCCCCCTGTATTGTAACTGTTAACTGTTTGGCCAGGGACCTGTGTAAAGCAGGTTTACTTTCCTGATCACCTGGCAATCGTCACCTACCTTTTTCTTCTCTACGCTTCAGCCTGTGGACTTGTCCCTTGGGTTTAATGCAGCGCAATGGGCCCTGCGATAGCCATATGTTAGTGGGTCTCTGACCACCAGAGCATAGGGTGTAAATGTGGGAACTGGTCTTGAAAGTCTGACTTCTCATTGTGCATGTCTGTTTCAGGCCCGTGCCTCACTGGGTGGTAAAGCAAGGATCACAATTGCAGCCCTACAGTCAGCTGCTCATATAGGGAAAATATGTAGACTGCCATTGTTAAAGTGTTCTGAAAATGGCAGTTGGTGGTCCTGGGAGTTTACTAATGGTGAATTAAGTAATACAGGTGCTCCTCGGGTTGCGATCAATCCACTTACGATTTTTCGCATTTACGATTTAGTTTACTGTACAGTGTACAGTTATTTGGCACCCACAGATCCGTAGGTGCCACATAACTGGTTCCTTGAGAGTCAATAATAACTCTCAAGTAACCAACCCCGAGGCGCTCCGCTTCCCCATTCACCTGTCGGCTCGCTTCCGCAGCCGTCTGTATGTAAACAGCAGGGATATATAGCAAGGCAAATTGCAATAGCCAATACCAGGCTGGCTATTGCACCCACCCAGTGAGCATAGGAGTAGACCAGAGAGAGCACTTTCCCTCTCAGGTCCACTCCTCCTCTTAGTGGGCGGGGATTCAATAGCCTGCCTGCTATTGCAATATGAAATAGCCAATAGCAGTCTAGCTATTCTCATTGTGTACTGTCTGCCGCGGTAATGTACACAAGTACGCTCCTCGGTTTATGATATTTTCGGGTTTCAATGGATTTTCCGAGGAGTGTCTGTACCTATTGGATGTAACCTCCCACTGAAGGGGCGGGGCTGACAACTTGGCATCAAACTCAGGTTCACACTTTGCAGACGAATCCAGAGCTTCCATATTCTGCATTAAGGATAGTTACTTTTATCTATACCAGTAGATGACACATTTCCAGAGCACTGCAATCGCACAGATTCCTCCACTAGTAGCTATTGAAATAACAGCCGCATGCATTATTTTCAGTGAGTCACACCAGACAGTAAACAATGCCATTGTTTAGCAGTGCGCATGTAAAGCAAACCTGCTTTCCCATGTACATGCGTATTCACAGGTTATGCACCCAAATCAAGTGTTTTAAAGATTATGCATTGATCTGATCGCTAAATGAAACAAATATTGTTCCCCTATAAAGTACTGTCTGACAAGACACATCATTGTTGCTTTGTTTCTGAGTTTTGCTTTGAATGACCTTTTACAGGGTGGCGCAGAAGCGAGAGGATGCTGTCTCCAGAGAGGTGACCCGCAAGCTTTCAGAGGCTGACAATAGGAAGATGTCCCGTAAGGAGAAGGATGAGAGGTAAAGAATATCCGCCAAGACATTTTTGTATTTGGCTTCACTATAGCTGTGTGATCGGTCTTGTGATATTCCAGTTTAGAGTGTATTTTCTTTATTATGGTCATGATTTTAAAAAAAAACACCCTTTTTTTTTTTCTTTCTTTTTTTGGTAAATATTATGTAAGTTTTATGCAGCAGCAGATGGAGCTGTTGGTCCTAAAATGTGGAATATAACATGGGTGCAAAAAATGAAAAAAGGGCCTCAGTCATGAAGGGGTTAATTGCCTTTTGCTCCCTACCACATGTTAAAGAAGAACTATGGGCAGAGTGAATTACCCTCATCGTTAGAGCTGACATGTGACACTGCAGTGGTCACATGTCAGTACTATTGGTCGGGAACTAAGTGATCACATACTGTAGATCGCTCAGTTCCTCATCTTCTCCCTGCAGAGTGCTGTCAGTCACTGCTCCCTGCAGACGTCCCCCCCCTCCCCCCCCCTCCCACTACACTGACTGGAGATGCACAGGGAAGGGGACAGGCACAGCTGGCTCTGCGCTGTCAGCATACAGTGGGCAATAGCCCGCTACATGCCGAGTTTTGGGTCAAAGCAGGACATTAGTAAACCCTAACGAGAACTACAGCCAAGAAAGTTTTGGGCATAGTTCTTTTAGGAATGTCTGTGTGTGTAAATTTCACCTTGAGCTATTGATATCTGTAAACAGGGAACTTGTCAGAAAGGGTTCCAGATTTATTGGGATATCTTTAATAATTCATAGTGCTTAGTTAATCCTTTTATCACATTTTAAATGTCTATTTGTAAAAACCATTCGTTGTGTTTTATACACTTACACACAACAGCTTTTTTTTTTTTAAATCATATATATTTTTTTAAATCATTACCACATTTACAATGATGACATTTACAATGTGGTAATGATTTATTATACCATCATATCAGGATAAGTGTTTTCAAGAATTTTGTTTTCTGATTCAGGATCCTTTGGAAGAAAAATGAAGTTGCTGACTATGAAGCCACCACTTTCTCAATTTTCTACAACAACACCCTCTTCCTGGTTGTGATCATTGTCGCCTCATTCTTCTTACTGAAAAACTTCAACCCTACAGTGTATCCTTTTTCTGACAAATGCTGCTTAAAAGGTGTTTTTCCCCAATCATCTTCCAGGACAGCAACCTGAGAGATGATTGGTTCCACCTTCTACAGGAAACACAATCTAACTGGGATCTTCAGGTGTTTTATAATCTGAGGTTATCCCTGATTGGGTGTTTTGCCAGAACATGACACTAGCTTGCCTTACTACACTATACAAGGGCTGCATGACTTTTCATAGATATTTCTAAAATATACAATAGAAATATAAGCACGAGTCATTTTATATAAAAGAGATATTCAACTATAAACCATAGCACATTACCCAAATGATCACTGTCTATAGGTTTGCCTGGTAATGGAGTCATGTTTTAATCTCTGTTCCTCTGGGTGGGTGTGGGGGGTATTTTTAAAATCTATAATAGAAATGTAAGTGTAGGAATTTTAGAAGAATGAATGTATATAGCACACATGCAAATGTTTACCACTTGATAGATTTCTCTTTTGGCAACAATTTAATAGCTGCTAGATATGTGTAAATTCCACTCATAATAGTTATTTTATATTTTGTTTTTTTACAAGTGTTGTTGAATTTACTTTCCTTAATTTCACCCCACAGCAATTACATTCTGTCACTAAGTGTTTCTTCAGGTCTTATTGCTCTGCTGTCCACAGGATCAAAATAAACTTTGACTGGCGCAACTGACTTTTTTTTTTTTTTTTAATTCCGCAACGTGTACAATAAACATCAATTTGGATTTCTAATCTTATTGCCTTTTATGTCTCATCTCTTCAATGTTTGCTAAAGCACTGTGTACTATAAACAATTTCCATATCTTTTTCAACAAAATGCTTGTTTTTTTTGTTTTTGTTTATCTTATTCTTTGTTGCATGTCAGCATTGCGGATATCCTGCTCTGTCTACATGTACTCCAGCAATATCTCCATGGCATTTCTGAGGGAGGTTTTTTTGATGGTGACAACAGTGGACCATGCTTGTGTAATGTGCGACAAGGTGACAATGCTCTATTCCTGCATAGTCGCCCTGTCACATGGGCTTTTGAAGGAGACCAGTGGTCATTTTAAAGGAAGTAAGGACCCTCCCTGAACTATAACTTTTAATTTAAAGTGACACTTGTCTTGCCTGACTGCATTGTGCCAAGTGTAAAGTTTGGTGGAGGGGGGATTATGGTGTGGGGTTGTTTTTTCAGGGATTGGGCTTGGCCCCTTAGTTCCAGTGGAGGGAACTCTTAAGGCATCAGCATACCAAGACATTTTGGACAATTTCATGCTTCCAACTTTGTGGGAACAGTTTGGGGCTGACCCTCAGCTGTTCCAACATGACTGCGCACCAGTGCACAAAGCAAGGTCCATAAAGACATGGATGAGCGAGTTTGGGGTGGAGGAACATGACTGGCCTGCACTGTCCTGACCTTAACACGATAGAACACCTTTGGGATGAATTAGAGCAGATACAGCGAGCCAGGCCTTCTCGTCCAACATCAGTACCTGACCTCACAAATGCGCTTCTGGAAGAATGGTCAAACATTCCCATAGACACGCTCCTAAACCTTAGTTGACATTTGATAGTTTCAGGTTTATGTCTTTCACCACTGTTCTATTACCTAGTAAGCTATCTAGTGTAATGAGGTACTACTGAGTGTAATACTATTTTATAGACGTGCGATTCGTTTTGGAAAAATGTATTTTTCAGACGAATTTTCATTATCCGGAGATTCGGATGTATCCGAATTCCCGAATAACAGAAATGACGATTCCGAATTTCCGAAAACTAAATTTTGGACGAAATTCGTAAACGGTATTCTGTGTGTATTTTAGTTTATGGACGAATTTTCGTTGCAGCAAAGTGACATTAAAAAAATAAATAATCCCGAAACGAATTGACTTTTGGACCCGAAAAACAAAATAACGCAAAATCCGAATTAAAACGAAACTAAACAAATTTTTGCCGGTGCACTTGTCTACTATTTTACAGATTCCTCTTGGTTGTCAAAGCACAATTTGCTCATGAAGGAGACTTATCTCTGCCATATCCTGAAAGCTGCTTCGTTGTTTGTGCAGATAATGCTTGCACTAAACATCAGCCTATAGTGGAATTCCTTAGTTTTGGCAATGCTTAGGTTAACCTCTCCCAATTATTTTGGGTGGATTTGTGTACCATGAAGACTACAAGTCACCTGCTTTTGTACAGTAGCCGACTTCTGCTTCATTGGGAAGACCAAACCGAGACCTGAGTAGAGGGGACAGTGTGCAGTTTTAACCTTGCATTTCCTATCTCCTTTTATTACAGTGGTATTGACTGGACTCTACCACCTACAATATGAATAATAATATTACCTCTCTAAAATAGTTTCCTCCTAAACGGTTTTTGAATTGGCTGCAGAAACCAGTTACTGAATAACAGACAGCCTTCTGCCCTCCATCTGATTATGCTAGTTGTTTGGCTATAATACTGCACCCCTGATTTAAAGACCTTGTGTGTCACTGACTTGGAACAAGTACACAGCAAGTTAAGTCTAAACTCCTGATCTGCATGCTTGTTCCAGGTCAAAGACTGAAGACTAGCATGTTGACCAAAAAGCTGGCTTTTATTAGGAGAGGCCAGCAATGGCAGATCTGCTATTATTATTATACAGGATTTCTATATCGCCAACCGTTTGCACAGCACTTTACAATGTAGGAAGACATTACAATTAAAGACAAGATGGTAAGCAGGGCCCTGCCTGCGACGGCTTACAATCTAAAAGGGAGGGAGAAGTGATACATGAGGAGGTAGCTGTATGGGGATGAATTGTTTGAGAATGTGATAGTTCAGTGGTTAGGCTGAGGTGGGATAGGCTTCCCTGAAGAGTTGAGTCTTTAGGGATCACCTAAAGGCAGTCAGAGTGGGAGATAGACGGACAGGTTGGGGGTAAAGAGTTCCAGAGGATGGGAGAGCATTTATAAGCATTTAAAAAAAAGGGTTGTGGAGAAGGGCAACATGTTGTATTCTATGGTAATCCACCAGATCAATGAAAGATATTTATTGATTTCCTACCATTGGTTATACTTTGCCTTAAGTTCAATAACTATTTGCACAGGATGTGTTTGCTCCAGGTAAAGTAGTAAAGGATGGACACTTGCACTCCAAAGCAAGTTCAGTACATGTTTATTAACGTATTAGTTGCAAGTAGAACAGTCTAAACAATGTTTTGGGGTCTCACAGGATCCCCCTCATCAGGCAAACAAGTGCAGGTGTCAGCGGGAAGCCACCCGCTGACACCTGATGCACCCACCCTCCATTTTTGGAGTGCGATGGGTACACGGACTGCTCCAGGTAAAGAGTTACTGAATATGCCAAGAAATACAACACTTATCCTTTCACAGGCAATGCATCCTGTAACTCAATGTAGTGTGGATTTAGTGAGAAAAAAACCTATACAGATGAAACTCGAATAATTAGAATATCGTGCAAAAGTAATTGCAGTAAGTGCTGCAAAAGGGGCCCAAACCAAGTACTGAGTACATATGCATGCTTGTACTTTTCAGAGGTCCGATATTGTTCTATGTACAATCCTTGTTTTATTGATTGCATGTAATAATCTACTTTTTTGAGGTTGTGGATTTGGGGTTCTTGGGGTTTTCATGAGCTGTAAGCCATAATCATCACAATTATGAAAAATCACGGCTTGAATTATCTTGCTTTGCATGTAATGAGTCTCTCTCATATATTAGTTTCACCTTTTAAGTTGCATTAGTGAAATAAATGAACTTTGCGCAATATTCTAATTATTCGAGTTTCACCTGTATATCAATAGATGATCCATGCCACTTTTCTAATATGGTTCATCAGCTTATGGTATTTCCTAAACACAAATGTACTTTGATTGCTTCTGTGCCTGTGAGCTTCCACACAAGGCTGTTTTTACTTGCAAAATGCTGCAGTACATCATATTGTGCAAATTGGGTCCTAGAAAAAAGTGTTGGTGATACAATAGCATACATTGGTTTGAGATGGTGGTTTAATCAGTGGTTGCTTAAGGTAAGTAAATACTAAAAATATGACATTTATTTTCTTAATTTGTGCTTTCTGTATATCAAGCGAAATGAGTATACCTTGGCTACCTTGTTGTGGAACCTTATACTGAATATACTGTTTTTTGTAGGCAGTGTGGGGACAATAAGGTGCTGCTAGGAGTTTATAACCTGCCACTTTGCTGCAGGGTTAATGGCTTGGTTTTGGTAATTTTTCCTCCGCTGTAGCTTGTGATTCATGCAGCAAAACAAGTCGGTAATTTCCTTCCCCCTAGCAATTATTGGCATTTTCAGTGGTATACACTACGGAATAGAAAATGAATTTAGAGTTTCTACTTGGCGTAATACAGCAATATTGAAATTGGGTCTGAGCTTCATTCACAGGCGACAGATGGTAACTTCACTAAACAGAAATATATTGCTTTGATTTTAAGCCAGAGTAGAGGAGTGTAAGTGATTGAATAGAAATAGAACAGAAATGTGATAAATATTGCTTGCAAGTATCAAAACATGCTAAGGTAGTTTTTGCAAACTGTTTTTCTTATCATTGCTTAACTGGAAAGACCTAAATGGTACAGGTAGTATATCAGTTTTTAACATATTTCATATTCTGATTGCATCACTTACAATGGATGCTGCTCCTTGATGTTTAAAAGTTTTAGGTTCCTGCAGAGTCAGATGGTCTCTGAGCACTAGTCCTAATATCCTGTTTCAGGGTGGCTCCATACCCTTGCAGGATCCTGTCAAGCCACCCTTGTGTGGGCTAGTAAGCTGTGTGTGTCTGGACAAACACATAGGCACAGCGAGGCAAGACACTCCCCTGCTTCCCGCTCCTTTCCAAGCCAGCAGATGGACACTTGCTGGAGACTGTGCTATCCCTTGTGATTGTGTACTGGACAGGAAGTCCAGAGATGTAGAGCTGAGAGAGTTGGAGCCAGTTGTTTGGAAACGTAATGACTTTAAGTGGGTGGGCAATACTGTAAAGCAATACTTAGCTGCGCAATGTATATTTATTTGATCTGGATTAATTATTGAATTATTTTTTGTGAGTTTACTACTTTAAAGTGTATGTAAATCCTAACAATGAACATCTGTTATTTGCTTCCTTTTGGTTTGTTTAATGGACATATGGAAGCATTTTGTGATTTCTGTTTGATAAGTGCATGCAGTTGATCTTGGGTATTGGCTGGCTGGGCTGTTTAGTGCCTTGTGAGGGTCCGTTGGTGTTGGACCTTCCTGCATGTGTTTTGGGCATACTGAGGTGATTTTCTTGCAGTGTTGCTGGACAGCACCTCTTGTTGTTTGGTTTCTATTAGGAGGTTAAAGGTATTCTGCTATTATGGTTTTTAGGACAAAGCTTTTGAGAAAGGAAAACCTAGTCCTGAACAGAAATGTGCTGTCTGTGGATATAAATTGGGGAGTCCCTGGTCTAATCCACTTTGCAAGTCCTGAATTAACAATGTCCTTAAGGATATGTCTGCTGTGCTTTGCAGTAGCTTGATCTCTTCAGAGAAAGAATTGTCTACTCCCTTTGGGTATTTTAGTGGCTATTTGTCAGGCCTTAATTCCCCTCAACCTCTTTCAAGCCTCCAAACAGGTCCACATGGTAGGTTACATATTTATTCAGTGGGATCAATACTGTAGAGGATTGTTTCATGGTGAATATAGATTTAA